AAAATACCATTTTCACCTATTTAGGCTGCTAATGATTTATAACACCCAGTGCTGGTGGGGGTGTGGGGCTAAAAGCATATTCACTACTGATGGGGGTATAATATCACACAACTTTCCTGGAGCTTAACCTTTGTTAGTGTAAAAATGATGTGGCCGAGGCGTCTGACCTCCTCTAACTTCACAAGGGGGAAGGAGAATCAAGATCAATGGCCCAAGGCTGATTCCTCTGAGGCAGAGGTCAGACATGTCTCCACCCTCCAACCTTTTTACCAATTCTGACATCAACCGTCCCTCCCATGGCACTCTCTACTCTCTGAGTTCAGTAATTCATTGCAATGGCCACACAGAACTCACAGACAATACTGATGGTTATGGGGTTTATTAGGGAAGTAACAGGTTACAGTTCAGGTTCAGGAACTCTCAGGATACAGTTCTTCCATCAGGACAGCTTCTTTTCAGCCATGCCTGCAGGCACGCCTCTCTCTGGCCCCTTGGCCTCTGTCTTGCTTGGGCAAGTGTTACAAAGCTCTTTTAGCTCTGCCGACAAGTGCCCCAAGAAACCTCACTCTGCTAGTAAGCCTTGGCCTGAAAGCGCTCAGCTGTAGCTCCGTGGGTTGGCAAATCTAGCTCTGCCAAGTGCCTGGAGGCACCCTACTCTGCCAGCAAGCCTGCTGCCCCAAGGCACTCAGCTTTGCCGCCTCCTGCCGGTCTCCTGCCTCTGCTGCAGCCATTTCTCTGCCACTGCTTCTCACCATCTTCGGTGTTACCACTCTCTTGCGGTCTTCTGGTTCCAGGAGCTTCTAAGAGCAGGGATCCTGGGTCCAAAGGACACACTTCACTCCTGGCTCTTCTTTCTTGGTAGTGGTGAGATCCTCCCTCTGCTCTGGAATTGGCTCTCTTTTAAGCCTAATGGGATGGCAAAACTGACCAATCCCCTTGTTAGGGTTCCATACACCTTATTTACATAATTAGCAAGCTGTCCAATCCCCTTGGTGGGCCACAAGCACCTCATTTGCATAGTTCCACTCAGTCATTTGGTGGGAGTTACAAAACCAAGGCCATATAAAAGTGATCCATTGCACCAGTCAGGGACTTTATAAATAGTACTTTTTTTTTTTTAACCTCATTATTTCATTTTTAGAAAACTACATTAAGGAAATAATCAGAAGGGTTTTATATTATTTATACATATATAAGAACTTTAAAAATGTAGTATATCTCACAGTAGGGGCATGGTATAGCCATATTATGGAACACTAAGCAATCACTAAAATATTATTTTCAAAGAAATTTTAATGGCTTGTGAAATTGTTTCTAAAAAATTTATATGCAACTACAAGATACAAAAATATTATTACACTGTGATCTCAATTACACTGATTCCTCAGTTTCTATTGACTGCTTATTTTCCTGTGTACAGGTAACTTTCCTGTATCTTTGCATGCCTCATTTTTTTGTTGAAAACTGAATGTTTTTGATAATGTAGCAATTCTGGATTCTGTCCCCACCCCACTCCCCCCACCCCAATCCAGGGGTAGTGGTTCTTGCTGGGTTTTTTTGTTTATTTAGTGACTTGCCTGGACTAATTCTGTGGAGTCTGTCCTCAGCCCTCAGCCCTCAGTGTACAGCCACTCTTGACAATATTTTTTTTTAATTCTGGTTTTTATTTTTTAAGCCTGAATTCCCAGGTATCACCTCCTGAATCAGCATAGCTTAGTGGTTAGTTAGTGATTTGTCAGAAGTCATGCTTAAACACCTTGAGCCAGTAAGGCTCACCCTTTGCTGATGAATCTGTGTGTGGCCTGGGGAATGCATTCTGAGTTTGGGCGTTTTCTAAATTTATTCCAGCTTTTATTTTGTGTTTACAAGGCCTCACCTTCAGCCAGGGACAAGTAGCTTGCTAGGGCCCTCTTTGGTTCCTCCTTATGTGCGCTCAGCCTTGTGCATGAGCAGAGTCTTCAGGGGATAAGATTATCAAGGCCCACTTTGGCTTCTCATATCCAAGATCTCCCTGTTAAATTTCTGGCTGGTTTGTCTGCCAGTCTATTGCTAGCCTTGACCTTAGGCTAGCTGCAGTGTCGGCCTTCCCTGATTATTCACTAAGGTATGGAATTTTTTCACACTGTACTCCAGATAAAGCCAGCTCCCTCCAACAGCCCTGGTAGAAATTCTGTCAAGGAGCTAAGGGAGAGGGAATTGGAATAGGAGCAGCCCCAGGCTAAAACATCACAGACTCCCAGTGTTCTTATTGAGGTTCAGTAGATTTTTCTTAAATAAATGCTTCTCAGTTTGTTGTATACCTTTCGTGGTAAATTTCCAGAATCTTTACTTTTTTTTTTTTTAACAAGTTTGTTCAGTTTTATCATCGTTTTTAGAGAAAGGATATGATGAGCTCCTTACTTGGACATTCTGGAAGTCCTGCTCCTTAAATCATACAAATTAATTGTACAAATTAATTATACAAATTAGCCCTACTCCTGGTGGGCGGGGGGAGGGGAGGTGGGACCTTCCTTGGGAAGTGAAATCCCCGAGCTAACTTCAGCCTGGAAACTAACTGGATCTGCAGGAGGAAGTCCTATTTTGTAGACCAGAGTACCTGAATTAGTGATCCTCTGTGTTTGTTTTCAGTTACTCCTTAGTCCAGGAAGAGCATTCATGGATCATTACTATCAAAAGATAATATGTTCATGAAAAAGAGCTTAGTGGTCAAGTTTGGCTTACGCTGAGCTAAGCAAAATCAAGAGTTCTTCACAGCAGGACTTCTCAGAGGCTTTGATATGCTAATATTTGTTGAAATTCTCTAAGAAATAATCTTGGGATTATAGTGACCACTGATCACTCCTCTCCACCCCCCCCCATGCATTTCATGGGATTAATGTTCTGCAAAACACCGTTCAGTCTGTTTTATTTGAATTTTTCAGCCTGGATCAGAATTACTGTGGGATGTTAAGGGAAGAAGTATGTGTTAATAACTGAGAGCTAACTGTATGTGTCAACCTTCTAGACGTGGGAGTAGTGGTGGTGGAAATGGAGGGAAATCCCTCAGAGGTCAATTCTGACAATCAGGCCTTCTAATACAGCTGTCCCCCCTCACCAGGAGTAATTCATTGGTAACCTTCCAAGTTTCTGGGTTTTATTTTTATTAAGGCAGGCTTACCATGTGCCAGATGTTAAGTCAGACTCTTGGAAAATAAAAAGACACAGTACTGTCCTCAAGGAGTAGTTAAGAATGGGATGGAGAAGACAATTATAATCAAGTATCATTGGAGGTGTAGTCCAGGTATCCACAAGATAAGACCAAGGTGATAAAGTTAACCTGGCCTGAGGGGTTAAAAAGACTTGACAGAGGCTATGGTGCCCTGCTGGTTTTGAAGGCCAATAAAGGGTTAGCCAGGAAAGGAGGGGAAGAGCATGTGCAAAGACACGGAAGCTTGAGACAACATGGCATATTCAGGGAACTCCAAGTAGCTTGCATAGCTAGAGTATAGGGTATAAATGAAACTGAGTAAGTACAAAGGGAGCAAAACATAAAAGGACTTTATGTGGCATGCTGGGGAGTTTGGATTTTATTTTCAGGATGAAGGAAGATTATTAAAGGCTGTTGAACGTGGAATCTCAGGATCAGATTTACCTTTTGAAAGGTCCCTTTGGCAGCGGTCTAGAAAATGGATTGTGGAGGTAGAGGATCAGAAACAAAGCTCCAGAAAGAGTCCAGCAAGAATGGTGAGGGCCTGAACTAGGAGAATTGTGGATGGAGAGGAGAGGGTAGTTGAGAATTGAAATCGATGACACTTGATGAACTAAGATGTTGGCAGATTAAGGGAAAGAGACATTGCTAGACAATTCCCAGGTTTCTGACTTCAGTAATCACAGACAACAGTACAGCCACTTAATAATACAAGAAATACAGGACAACAGGCAGGTTTTTTGCTAAGAGATATTCAGGTTTGCACTTGTATAGTTTGAGATTCCAGTACAACATGAGACATATTCAGGAGATGGGTGGAACGCTGGGTTGAGAAATACCGATTTGACAGGTATCACAATGAAAGTTGTAAGTGAAGCCATAGCTATGAATGAGATTGTGCAGGGAGTGTGCAGACTGAGAAGAAAGAAACAAAAATCCCAGGGAACTGCAGTATCTCCCTCTTCTGAATGCCTATGATATTTGTCTGTAACTCATGAAATTTGTTCTATGCTGCAATGAACATTTAGTTTGATGTATGTAACGCATCATGCTAGATATGTGGGTATGAAGAATAAAAGAAGATCCTTTCATCCAAGAAGACTATAACCTAGTTGTGGAGAAAGAGATATGTACAACTATTACGCAAAGGAAATGAAATAAAGAGCTATAAATGAGTTGACTGTAGAAAAGGCAATTGATTCAATGGGGGAGATAACACAGGTTTCCACAGGGGAAGAAAGCATTTGAGTTGGGCTTTGCAAAACAAGGGGATTTTGACAAGCAAGGAAGGAGAATGAAAGGCAAATAATTTGAGGTAGCTTCAGAATGGAGTGTAGGAAGTAATGGCAAGAGATGAGGCTGGAAGGGTGGCTTTAGGCCAGGATCTAGGAGGTCAGGAGTTCCTCTGAGGTTTCTTAGGAGTCCATTTTAAAAATGGCATATGCCTATGTATATAGCTGATTCATTTCTGCCTATTCCTTAATTTCAGAAATTCCTTTAAGAATGAGTCAAAAATGCTAAAGGAAATCTAGAAATCACCCAACTAAGGCGTTAGGCTTGTATATGCTTTTTCTCAATTCTATATTTCAATTCTGCAAAACTCTTTGTGAGTGGAACTTCAATTACTTGGCTTCATTATAAAATTTTCACTGTATGTCAAGAGTATAAATAGTTTCACTCTGATGCTGTCATTTGAATGTGGCTGAAAGCATTGACAGAAATCACATTTTCATGGCACTTACTTGGCATGCTGAAGGAAAACAAAATGTATACTGCTAATTAAGTCATTAGTGACTTTGAAAGTGATGGATGGATTATATATAAAGTTAGTAAATAATAGAGATAAAGAAGTATATTTTAAAGATTAAAAATATTTTATTTAAACTTTTCTTCATAAACACTTTTAACATTTTTTTTAAATTTAAAAACAGAATGGATAGCATAAACATGTTTGAATAGATTATATCCACGGCTTGGGAAAAATTACCTGACAAAAATGTAAAGGCTTTCAAAACAGGTATAAAAGGCAAACCTTAAATTATTCTAAGATTTTTATATCGGCCCTAGGATTATTTGACTACTGGCCCAAAATGTACCTAAAAGGTCAAAATATTTTTCTATAGACAAAGTATGCCCGAGATATAGGGCATATACAAGTTAGGTAGAAAATAACCTCTCCAATCACCTCATTGGAACATTCCTTCAGAAAGCAAACACCTAACCCTTACTGGTATAGTGATTAATAAAATTCTTTAATGCAATTGTTCCCAAACATGTAAAAAGAAAATCCAACATTAAGGGGAAACAAAGCTGATGGCATTCTCTCAATGTTACTTGGGTAATATTGAAGTTATACTGGTATACTGAAAGGATATGACTTCCATGAGTTTATCTATTCCAGTCTATGCCTATTGAATATTTGACTTTATAAACTCTCAATAAACTAATATTTCAGGACTTTTATTTTTTAAGATAAATCTCTTTTTAGAAGATATGTATTCCCAAACCAACTCTAATCCAATTGAACAAACGTATGATCCCTATAAATGTTCAGAGTACAAAAAAAAAACAAACTGTATAATAGGCAAACAAGAAAACTGGCACTAGCAGTTTTACTGCCATATAGCCCTCAATTATGTCTAATTTACACTATTATCTATGTTGTGTTTTACTTCAGTCTAAACTTTAAATTATGTATTCTCAAAAGAGCTAGTCTTTTCTGAGAGATAGCTTATAAACTGAAATCAACAATTTATATTATCAACTGAAATGTTATGACCTACCACCACATATACATATATAAAAATAGCCCCACTGAACGTTTAACATGTTTAGATTATGCAGCTCAAATAATTTGTTATAAAATATTTTAAAGCTTAGTTTCATGTAATTAAGACAAAACTCTCCATTTTTACCACTTCTCACCACACAAATGTGTGTCCTTTACTATGACTCGAGCAGGCTTCCCAGAATGAGGTGTCCAAAGGTGCTGCTTCAGAAAGGATAAGTGAAGGGCTCAGTCAGTATTTCACAAATTATTATAGTTAACACTCACATAAAGTGGAGTAATGAGGACACACAGAAAGCTGTCTCAAGAAAAGCTAGTATTTCTATTAAGCTTTGCTTTTTAAAAACCAGTAGTATTTCTTTCAATACAAAACCTTCAATGTGAGAATCTTGCATTTTATGAAAAGGTTGTAGTGCAAGGATCTTCTTTAAGGAGATTAAAATCAAAACTTAGAAGATGAAAGATGTGGAAGGAAAGAGAACAAATGTTTCTAATTTAAATGCAGTTAATAAAGATCGGCTGTTTTTGTAAAGTCTGGCATTAAAAATGTAAAGTGAAAATTAACACATATAAAGACCACAACAGTTACACTGTGTAATTTCCAATCTCCTATTGAATTTTTTAAAAACTACTAGTTTGAGCATGTACAATGTATATAAACAAAAAATGGTTCCAAATAAAGCACACAAAAAATAAACTTGAAAAAAAATTCTATGAAAAAATTTTTCCATAGTTTAGTATAACAAAAATAAATCTCTTTCAACAATTAAACCATAATTTTAAAAGGGAATGTAAGTTAATCGTGGATTTAAAATAACCTATATTAGAACTACATATAAACAGAAGCATTTTCTCATACATTCAGAATCTAAGCAAATAGCAACTATTCTTAAAGCTCAAAATGGATTACAGCTAACATCAGGCCAGACAAGACTTAAGTGAAGCTGAACCCAGAGTTAGTTCAAGTTAAGATTTCACAAAAGTTTACCAAAAATGAACTTTGACCTTGGTCTTGTGTCTTTAAAATGGAACACCAAGAATGTTCAGCTATTTGCCCAGATCTTACCCTAACTAGGGCTATGAAGTCAGATTGAAGCAATACAAGAGAACCACCGCTGAAATGTGAAAGCCTGTGATATGGGTACCCTGTCAGACAGCTCCGTCAGTCTTTCCTAGCAAAAGACGTCAAAGAGGAAAACCATGAAGATGCTATTTTCTTTAAAGCAAAACAATACACATACAAAAACCCAGACCAACTAATATATTAGAAAAAAAGTAAATGGTTCACCTAATGCTTAGTTTTCAAATTTTTCATATCACCACAGCAAACAAACTATCACATTTCGTTTTTAGAAACTGATAGGACCACTTAATGAAAATTTAAGCCTCTTCTACAAAATATTATTATTAACTTGCTTTAACACCAATGCCAATTTTTTTCGCTTTCAAAAACAACTTGTGTACCTGATTTCTTAAATGCCTCCAGTTTTGGAGTTTTAAAATCAGGTTTCTTTTCATAGTATGTCTAATTGAATTAAACACAAAAAGTCTTCACATTTCCATGACTTCACGTTTCCATTTTATGTTCAGTGATGGCAGCAGCAAAAAGAAAGAAATTAGAAAGTTTATACAACAGCCATATAGAAGGCATTGCAATATTGCACCAATATCCAAAGATGTGGCAAGTTTTGCCAGTGTAGGTCTAGTCTGTATCAGACAGACTCTACTTTTGAGAAAATGGCATCAATCTGAATGATCCACTCACTCCCTGGTTATTCCTGCTTAATTTTGTCAACTATATATTCTTTTCCTTTGCATTTAAAGAGTTGAAAGGTGCAGCTAATCCTAAAACATTTGTTATAAACTGCTTTTAAACAATTATTCTAGATCCATTCTCAATTTGGGGTTACCATCCTTCATGCTAGTAGCTTTCAGTAAATAAAACAAAAGCTGAGAGCTTACACCCCCAGTGCTGCTGGGGATTTTGTATTAAAAAAAATAAACAAGTAGATATGACCAGTAGGATTATAATTCTATTTCTTACTTCTAAGTCAAAACTGAGCTCAAATATTCTAAGGGTTGCTACCTTCCATTCAATAACAGATGCAGCAGCCTCATTTAACATAAAGAATGGGAGTTGCACTTACGTTTAAGGGGGCCTTTATTTAGGAGTTTGATATTACCTAAATTCTCTTTAAAAGTGCTTGCACGCTGCAGGGTCAGAGCTTGTTATATACGACTCCAATTCTCTCTAAAAACAGGGCAACGTTAAACAGACTGCAAAGAACAACATTTTAAAAAAGAAAAGACATACATGATAAAGAACACTAATGCTTGTGAAAATAAAATATATAAAGTGTTAGTTTTCATAAATCCATACATGTTTCAGAAATATAGGGGGTTCAAATATTACTGAGTCAGTATGGACTGAAGATAGGCTACTCTGATACGAAATGAGGACTCCAGTTATTTTAAGTTTCTAAAAATATTAATACATGAAAAGATATTACATCTAAAATTCAACAAGTATGGCGAACCGTGTGTGCAAGTGCACTAGCTTAAAAATATAGAATCCTAACCACACATAAAAGGGGATGTGCCTTATATATTTATAGGATATATGCGAGTACGGATATGCTTTCACTAACACAATGCGGATAAGAGAAGGCAGCTTAGAAATAGTGTTTTGAATATAAAAAGTTATTTTGTAGAAAATTTATATTTTTGCATTTTCAGCAAAAAAGCCATGCAAAAAGGTCAAGAGTTTTAAACTTTAAATAATAAAATCAAAAAGTTTAACAGACTGAAATACACTGAAATAAATGTCCAAAAAGATTTCAGATAAAGACAGAAACTGAAATCACATTCAGTGACACTTATCAGGTCTTCTCTTAGAAGATTCATGAATCCTAGCTGCGCTGATATCTTAAAGCATAAGATCAACTTCCCCGATAAGTGGATTGTTCCATTAAACTGCTTCTGGAAATAGTTTCAAGAGCTAGCGTTCAGAATTAACTTATTGCATGAGTTTGAGGCCACTAAAAAGAAAAAAAAAGGATGCTAGCACAAAAATGAAAACTTCTTACGATATTAGACCAATGGCTTTGATAGTAAAACTGGTGAGGTTTTTCTTTTTTTTAATTAACTATATATCATAAACAAATGCTTCGTTTGCCACTTTTTTAGTGAGGAAGGTGATATCATCAGTTGCAACGTCTAACCTCGTCCAGTACGTATTCAGGAAAATGCAGGTTGCATACTTGTAAACCGTCCAGCTTGCAGGGCATCCGAGGGTACTCATCTTCCTTCCATTTATTTTCTTCGGGATCAAAAGTAAGAATAGAATCGCTGTAATGACCATTATAGCAAAGGCCGCCAAGAACCATTATTTGTTTGTCCAGCACAGTCACACCATGGCCACTTCTACCAATTGGCATGGATGCCAAGATGGTCCACTGATCAGTGTCTGGGTTGTACACTTCTGTGGAAGGGCATCCCTGAGATTCAAAAGAGGCCCTTAAGATCACACAAACACCGCCAAAAACATAAAGCTTGCCATTGTAAGAGATCATCTTGTGAAAGCATCTTGCGTAATTCATTTTACTCTTATTCTCCCAGCAGTTGGTAACCACTTGAGTTCTCCTTGTACGTTGTTCTATGGTCCCTTCCTTACTGGGGTCGAACACACACACTTGTTTAGAAGTGGAAGATGATGTGATTCCACCAGTGATAAACAACTTGTTATTGAGCACTGTCCCCTCATGACCATATTTGTTGACTGGATAAGGATCTACAAATTCCCATTTATCATTGGTGATGTCATATCTCTCTGTTGAATAGAAGGTCTCATCCCTGGTTCTTCCTGCTACTGCGTAGATGAATTTCCCAATAACGCCAACTGCAAATTCTGAACGTGGAACAGACATGTCTGCCATCCGCAGCCAACAATTCTGTCTTGGGTCATACCTGAACACTTTAGAAGAAGCATGGAATTCACCGTCAGGCCCTAGTTCTTCCCCGCCTAACAAGAACACAAAGTTATTGACAATAGCGAGGCAGTCTGGTCGTAGAGGTACTTGTGGGCCTTCCAGCTCCCACCAGACTCTTGGTTTCTTTAAGAGTAGTATTTTACTGTTTACCATGCTGTGTCCAATCATTCCCCGGAATACTGTAGTTTGGGGTTTGGCAGAACGGATGCGACTAGATTTTGTTTCCATCAAAGGCTGCTGGTGAACATTCTGAAAGTAATTCAATGCTTGATCGACTTCATACCGCAGCTGTCGAGAGTATCTATAAAATTCTGATGTCTTAACCTAAGAATACAAGTAAAAGAATTTAACCAAAAGAAAAAGCATCAATGGAAAACAAAGTATCATAGCTCACTAAGATGATTAGTATATTCTTTTAGACACACTTTACTAAAACTTCTTTTCCTGTTAAGATCACATACTTCCTTTTTGTTTTTTTTACAAAGGTTTATATTTGTATTTGTAATAATCTATGCACATTCCCAATTTTTTTAAAGTAAACAAGTTATTTTTCAGGCACAAATTATATTTCCAGGCATAAGGAAATTCATCTAACAAAAGGTATTAAGGACCTATTATATGTCAGGCCCTGGGCTACAAGTGGGGCATACGCTTCACACTAGAGGAAACCACAGCCATGGTTTTCTTAACCACAAGTAACGCTGTAAAAACAACTACGACTGAGTAATTTGGGGAAAACTTAGTGAGAATTTAAATACATATAAAATTCCCAGGAGGTTTTTGACATAGAGACTTCATCAACTCCTACAGTAATAATTCAGTTGACAAGAACAGGTCCATTTTTCCCCCTTTTCTTTTTGCAGCTGGAAAGACCAAATTATAATTATTCTATTACCAAGATCTTATGAAGTGTGGTGGTTGCACAACATGATTAATGTAATTGATATTAAATTGAATTGTATGCCTGAAAAACACTGAATTGGCAAACGTGTTATATACATTTTTACAACAATAAAAAAAAGATCTTTATGAAGTACTTTTAAGCATTATTCTACGTGCTGTGGGGAGATACAAAATAAGTATAAGATGTGGCCCATTCCCTCAAAGAACCTGGAATATATTTGGGGAAAATGAAGGCAAATACAAATTTACCAATAATACATCAAGTTGACAATTAGGTATGAAGCAGAACAGCACATCTGAGTTCTGCAGAACTTTAGATACAGAACATTATCAAACTAGTCAGAAACAGGAAGTTGGAGACCAAGCAGAAAACGCCTGCATCATAATATGAAGTTGGAGACCAAGCAGAAAAAGCCTGCATCATAATATGGCAAGGATAAGATAAGAAGGTCTTAAATTTGGATAGTAGAAATTACATATTATAGAGAGAAAAATCTACAGAATTCTGTGATGATTTGAAGTAGGGATAGGGTGAAAAAGTGAGGACTCAAATGTGATTTTAGGATTTAGACTTCAAGTGATAGGGAGAGCAGTGTTACCATTAAGGGAAACGGAAGACAAGCTGATTTGGGAGAGGTATTCAACTTCACTGGTGATGTGAGTTGCTGGTAGGATGCTAAGGTGGAAATGTCTAGGAGCCTGTTGGAAATCTGGGTGACAGCTTGGGAGAGAGTCAAGTCCAGGCATATACATTTATGAGCTTTCTTTCCTTCCTTCTCTTTTTCCTTCCCTCTTTCCTATCTTTCTCACTCTTTTATTCATTCATTCAATCCTATCTAAGTCCAAAAAAATATTTGAAACAGAAAGCACAAATTTGTTTTTTTCAAAGTATTTTGATAACTGTATTTGAATATAATTATTTCCTTTGTAATTCCATGCATTTAAAATCATTATTCTGAGAAGAGGTCCTTCCAAGGGCTTCACTAGAGTAGCAAAGGGATCAACAGCACAAAAAAGGTTGACAACACCTAAAAAAGAGAAAGCTAATCCTACTACTGCACTGGCTGCTTTACATTTGCAACTCATGTTAAATTATTCCTCCTGTGAGATAGCAATAACCATCCGTTTTCCTGATTTAAAAAAACGGAGGCTTAAAATGTTAAGTGACTTGCCAAAATTGTTTACATGACTAAAACTGGTGGAGTCAGGATCTGAACCTTAAACCAGGACAGTCTTACTCCAAACCTCATGCAATTTCCAGTATGTTACAACACAGCCTCCATTATTCTTTAGAAAAATCTTTAAATGACATACTCATTTATTAAAAATACTTAACATGTTCAATGAATGAGCCTAATGACCCCTCTCAAAGAAAAGATAGTATAATTATTCTATCAATAAAAAGAATCAATCATATGGATCACAATGATTGGGTATCCAGCAAAATAATAACTGTGGAAGAAATCATAGCAAATAATGACTTACAGTAAATAAGTAATTTCAATAAAGAGAGTGACGTAAGAATAAAGCAAAAATATAAGGAAGATCTGAGGTCTTTTCCTTTCTTTTACTTCCTTACTACAAGGAAAACAAACTGAGCTTCAATCTCTTAGGAGAAACAATGGAATACTATCCAGCCACTAAGGATCAATCACTGAGTATTTATTAATATTGAATGATGTTCACAATGTTTTAAAAAAAAAGTCAACTCTTCAACCTCTGTTGAGAATTCGTGGTGGTGCTGAGAAAAACAAGAAATCTTACACTACTCCCAAAAAGAATAAGAGAAAGAACGTTAAGCTGGCTGTCTTAAAGTACTACAGGTGGATGAGAATGGCAACATTAGTTGCCTTCATTGGGAGTGCCCTTCAAATGAATGTGGGGCTGGAGTTTTTATGGCCTGCCACTTGGATAGACATTACTGTGGCAAGTGTTGTCTGACCTAATACTTCAACCAACCAGAAGACAAGTAATTGTGTATGGGTTAATAAAAGACATGAATTAACAACAAAAGCGACAGTACTCTGGTATTAACCCAATAGTATTTTGTGTATGCTTGCTTGTGCTAATAGTGATTGTCTCTGGAATTTCATAACATTTTTGCATTCTTTTTTTCATGTATTTATAAACAGAAAAAACCAGAGTTCTTGCCATTTAAAAAATAAGTCCCTTGAAACCATCAAAAATCTATACGACTAGTAAAAATTAGCATCTTTTCATATTTTCGTTTCCATTTATTCCATGAATTGCCTTGTGTGCCTTACCCATTTTTCTCATCTTTTTCGTATTGACTTGTAGGAGATAAGTAATATCCTAGAAATCAACAAGAAACACAAGCCTCAAATTAAATATTTAAGTGCCTACTCTGCACAGCCAGTCGCCTGAGAGCTACACAGGTTTTGAATAGACTCTTGTCCACTATACTAATTAAACACCATGCCAAGCAGCACAGCAGAGTGATTAAAAATCTGATTTAGGAAATATACCTAATCATTCCACTCACAAGCTGTGTGATCTCAGGCATATAACTCAACATCCTTAAGCCTGTTTCCTCATCTGTTATTACTGGGATAACAATAGCACGTATACTTCATAACCCTATTGTAGGAGCCAAGTGAGATAACCTCTGTGGGAAGGGCTTAGTACAATGCCTGTCGCGTGGTAATTCACAAAAAACAATAGCTAGTATTAGCTATTATTACTGACCAGGGGACATCTGTAGTAGCGTCACTCAGCTTAAATCAATGCATCTGATGCGTGCAAGTAGGAGGAACCTTTGGAGAAAGCAGCCATGTTATTTGGAAATCAAGAAAGAAAGAAAGGGGAATGCTGCACATATTGGATAGGCAGATTTCAAGTTTTTCAAAGGAAAATTAGGATCAATTCCAAGATCAGTAACACAAAGAACTGGAGGCTCTCAGAAGCATAATACTGAGTGCATAATTGCAAATTTCACTGATGAGGGGAAGACAAGGGGAAAGTATATAAAAAATCTGATGTGGCTGCACAGAGAGCTTTCTGGAATTCAGATGTTAAAAAAAACCACTTACAACAGATGGTAAAAAAGGGCACATAAAACAAGTATTAGAAAGAGTGAAATGGAGCTGTAAGAATACTGTAAGGAAGGCTTAAAGCCCCAGGATGAACGGTGGCTTTACAAAGTGCCAGATATGGAATAAATGGCATTTTAAAGGTTAAAGAAAAAAGCAGAGGAAAAAGTGAAGCCCCCTCCCCATGGGGTGCTTCATGTAATATTAACAAATGACAAAGAGAAGCAGCCTTACTCCTATTTTATTTCCATTCTTGGCTAAGAATCTTTTATTCTTTCCAATCTGAAGATCAAATACAATTACTAGGAAGAAACTTAAATCCAAGATGGCTGAGAAAAGAAAAAAACATCTAGTTATTCTAACCGAGTTCAAGTCATTCAATCTCATAAGTCACGTCCTGGGATACTGAGAAGCTTTGCAGATAAGGCTGCTTAATTGCTTTCTGTAATCTGTGAAGAATAGTGAAGAATGGGAGAGGACTAGAAGCCAGACAGATTTCTGAACTACAGACTGGTTCACTTGAGGTTGACTGTTTAAAAAATAAAGTTAGTGAGCACTGTAAAATAAAGTGCTAAACACTAGGAGGCAGCACGGATTCACTAAGTAATGCCAAAACGAACTGTTTCCTGTTTAATTTTTGACGATGTAACAGCACTGATACAGAAAGAGAATCCATGACTGCAGCAAAGTAATCATAAAGAAAAGAGAAACACCAGGGCCTCATGAACCACTTGACATTACAGCAATAATTGTGTGTGAATGCATTTAGGTGGCAGAGTGGGGTAGTGGAGGGTCCACAGCTTTTATGAGATGCTCAAGGGATCCTCGAACTCCAAATGTAAAGCTTTAACTGATTATATCCTCAATATGAACTAACAATGTGATACGGCGGCCTTGAAAGCTAATAAAACTGTGGGCTCAACTAAAAGAAGAGACAGTCCCACCCTCTCCATTCAAGTGAAATAACTAAGACAGGGTGTTCAGTTCCATCACTACAATTTAAAGTAGACACTGACAAAGTGGACCAAGTCCGGAAGACAGTGAAGAAATCCAAAATCAAATGAAGAATGGTCAAACAGATGAGGAATGTTTCAACCCAAGAGAAAGATGGCAACCGTTTCCCAGACCAATAAGTGGAAGTGAGGAGGAAGATTTTAGGCCAGTATAAGGAAAAGCTTTGTAATTAGAACTGCCAAGATACCGGATGTTCGTTGCATCATTATTTGTAATAGCACAAAAACTGGGAACAACTCAAATATCAATAAGACATTGGTTGGATAAACTCTGGTATATACCATATGGAGTCATTAAAAAGAATAAGGTTAATCCATATGCACTAACACAGATGTTCAAAATGTTAAATGAGAAAAA